GTGAGGAGAGGTGATGATAGGAGTTGGTAACTTAGGCCTGAGAAAGGGCAGGATGCTCTGGCGTGGGAAGGAACCGGGGTAACAGGATCACAGCCCAGGGTCCCGGTGGAGGGGGGACTGAACCCACCACAGGAGGGAACAGAGGCCTGAAGGCTAAATTCTTGGGGTGCTTACTCGAATGTATTTGATGGTCTGCTTCACACGATCGTACCAGAAGCCATAGTCGATCCAGAGGCGAATCAGCTCCAGGGGCGGCTGGGACCCGAACGTGTCCTTGGCCGGCATGTTTAAGTCGTCCATGAAGGTGATCATGCTCTTGCCCCCAAACGGCACGTAGACTCCCTTGGTCCGCTTCTCCACCCGGCTCTCGATGATGCTCTGCACGTTATTGGATGTGGTCTGGCGGAAAAGGGACAGAATGGGATGCCTGGGTCCCCCAAGAGAAGTGTGGAGCCCCAGGCATGTGGATCCCAGGGGAGGGCGCAGGCAGGAGAGCGCGGGGAGCTGGCAGCCTGGCCCCCGGGGCCCCACACACACCTGCGCAGACATGTTGACGACGAGCACTGACCACAGGCTGGAGGGCAGGGACTGCAGGACACTCTGGGCAATGGAGGTCTTCCCAGTGCCCACCGGGCCCACCAGCAGGACGGGGTTCTGGCTGGCCACCAGGTTGCTCACCAGGTAGTTGTAGCGAATGGTGTCGACGGTGGGCACCATGATCTTATAGAAGGGCGCGCTGGGAAGCAAAGGAACGGAGTCTCAGGATCGTGGGCCGCCCCCTTCCCCCTCCCACTTCATTCCCCGTTGTTCTCACCCTCTTGCAGCGTCACTGTCCAGTCCCCAACCCTGTGGGGCCTGGGGGCCAAGTGCTCCCTTGAGGTCCCTGTCCTGAGTCCTCTAGAGCCTGGGTCTTGTAAGACTCAGCCTTCTCTGGGATCCGCCTCCTCCCTACAGCTCAGCTGTGCTTCAGGGCCCGTCTCTCACCAAGCGCCCGCAGCTGCAGCCCCAAGCCCCGCCCACATCCCAGGTCCCACTCACTTAGGAGGGTAGCGCCAACTCTTAGGGAGCTTATTCTCAAATGATGTCCAACTCCGCATCTTGGGGTCCACAAAATACTCGTACACGGTGTCCTAAGGAGGGCACGTGTGTCCGGTTACCAAAGCCTCCCTCCAGCTCCCCCGGTCCAGGCCCAGGGACCACAGACCCCTGGGCAGAGAGAGAGCTGGGCCGGCC